TTTTTTTTTGGGCTTGAAAATTAACAAATTATCTAATTTCATACCAAGAAAAAAATATTGGGGCTAAAAAAGAGAGATGTTTTAAAATTGAGCTTGGATAAATATTAGTTATGAGATAAAAAATATAGCATTGGATATAAATAAATATTAAATTTATATATTTTTAAATTTGGCTTGGTTCGGTTTATTGAGGTATAGAATCAGAACATGAACCGGTAGTTCGGTTTTTTGAATTGAGTTTGACTTTTTGGTCAACACAGTTTTTTTTCTTCAGTTTTTCCAATCTGATTTGGTTCGATTCTTCAACTCTTCAGTTCCGATGCCCACCTCTACTTGGTTGGTTACATATCAAAACTCTTAGGCCTTCTAGTAGCCCAAATTGAATTTATTTAGGCCACCCAATTCCCGGAATGCCCAATTGCAATTTGCAAGGTACATAGTTTGAACCCAAACTTCCGACCAAAAAATAAAGGTTTGAACCCAAACGAAGGACTCAGTACAGCCAGCTTAGAACTTACAATCCATGGACTTGAATTAATTGGACTATTCTTATTATTATTTTATAATCTTTTATTTAATAACAATTATGCTGTAGATTGAAGAGGAATAAGAAGACGAAGAGCATCGACCATGGCGATGCATAAGCTCATAACTCGTGGAGCAGCTCGTGCGGTTCCAGGCTCATCTTCTTCCGCCAATCCTTTCCGTGCTCTAGGCAACGCTCTTATCGGTTCTTCTTCCAAGACTTAGGTTCGTCATCTTCCTCATCGCTTCTTTCACTTTCAATTTCTCTTCTCCATTTCGAATTTTCAATCCTCAAGTGGCCTCAACAGCGTCATTTTTTCAGGTTTTCGTTTGATTCACAAGCAGGAAAGATTGAAGGAGATACCTCATCCACGCCCACAGCTTTTGAGCAGTAATTTTGTCCAAACACTCATGGCCACATACTGCACCAGATCTGAGAGAACGCTCACAAGGATGAGCTTAAGAAGAACGAAGATACCATTTCAAGGTCAGCCGAATCATATTGGTATGATCGGTTTGATTATCGCCGAAATTCGAAGCTTGTTGAGCAGTTTCTTTGCGATTTTGTGATTAATTTGAATATGTCTACGGTTTTTTTCCTTAGTTTTGCATTTCGTTTACAAATTGCGATAAATAAATTGATTTAAAAAAATCTAAAAATTACTTGCTTGCTTATTTGTGTTAGTTCTAATATGATTTGTAATGCTGGTACTGTGTTTTTAGTATTTAGCTGAATGGTTGAGCATTTGCATAAACATTTACTGTTTGTATGATGTACATGCTAAGCTATTGTTAGTTAGCAATTTTTGTTGCAGTCTTACCACTGCTTCTGCTATTACAGAAGGATAATAATATTGTTTACTTGTTAAAATTCCTTTTTCAGTGGTTTGAGACATATAAGTTATCTAGCCTGGTTTTGCTACTATATATATATATACATACACACTCTACCTGCACGCAGAAAGAAAAGCTTTCTTTTCGTTAATCAGATATGAGTTGTTTGTTATGTAAATTATGACCAGTCATTTTAAAAGTTTCAATTTGGATTATTAATGAGTCTAGAGTAGTAATTCTGACTGTTAAATGGCAGATGTCAGGACAGTAAATGGATACGGTCATGGGGATGATTACAGAGGAAACAATGAATCACAGATGACTAAATATTCTAGGGAGGCATTAATTCAGCTCTTAAATCTGGTGCAGTTGAAACTACATCCTAGGTATAAATCTCTATATACAAGCTACAGTTATTCAACATAACATGATTTGGAGCACCCTTAGGATGTGGTCATCCTGTATCAAGATGTAGAACCTTTTTTCCAATTTTAAGTAACATTCTGGCACTTAATTTTAGCATTCGAGCATTTTGTTTCCCCTTTTATTTCAGATTTTTATAAAGTAGAGTGTCCGCTTTGACAGGATATCAATTTTTGATGAAGTTTTCAAGCTAATGTCACGGTTAGACTTGGTGGTAAGATTTACTCATCGAAGTTTTTAAAGTAGATTATTGTTAATTGATGAGTGATGTCTAATTCTTCATGAAAAAAAAAGAGTGCTTTATATGCTATTGCCAAATTGTGGTTCCTACCTTAGCGTTCCATTAACAAAAGAAAAATCCTCCCTTTGCAGGTAGACTTTTCTGAATTCTCCCGCTTCTATGATTTTGTTTTCTTTATGTGCCATGAAAATGGTCAGAAAAATATCAGTGAGTTTTCTTGCTTTATAAAACTCATTATAATAATTCTTAGCCGTTTCTGTTCATTCCTTAGAATAGCCCTATGAAACCTCCTTTACCTTTCTTTTTTTTTCTTGAATTATTTGCAGCTGTAAATAAGGCGATTACTGCATGGAGGTTAGTATTAGCTGGGAGGTTTCGGTTGCTGAATCAATGGTGTGATTTTGTTGAGGTACAAACATTCTGAGGTTGCTTACAACTCAATGCTTTCTAGGGTTTGTTTGTTGATTCAAATGCAACTTCTTCTTCTTGTTTGTGTATTGATTTTGAATGGTATGGACTTGTACACTTTTATCCTACCTATTATGTAAATGAAATGATGTAGTTGTTAACTTCCAGTAAGTGGTATGAATAGTTGTTATACTGTTCATACCCAGCAACTAAGTTTATTTCTATGACATAGTATTAACAGTGTACTTCTATGACATAGTATTAACATATTCTCAGTAACAAAGAATGCTCTATAATTTGCTCTATATATAGATGTGCACTTGAAGTTTATGATATGCAAAATGTGATTTTTACTAGGAAGATGGTTCTATGACATAGTATTAATAGTGTACTTCTATGACGTAGTATTAACAGTGTACTTTTTTTACTTTTTTTTCTTGTAGAGGTATCTTGTTATTACTAGTATTCTACTTCTCAAAGTTTTCCATCTTTTAGTCTACCTCAAGTTTTTTTAATATTTTTTTATATAATTGTTTCAAGGTTTAGGGTTTCTTTGTTAACCCCTTTTGATTTGGATAGTCTGAAAATTTACAGTTTTGGCTTTGGTTGAACTATGATCAAAATGGTCGGGTTGTGAATTTCTCTGGTTTCTAATTTTGCAGATGTTTGGTCTTTTGTTGTAAACGATTTTGAAACCTCAAGTCCAGTACATGCCTTCTGTTTTGTTGCTTTGACACCATTTCTTATGACATGTTGATTGGACATAACTTGTTGCACTATTTGTTCTTGTAGTTGCTGTCATATAAAGAGTTTTTTTTTAGGTATTTTTTTTATTTGTAGGTTTGAGACTTGAAGTTTGTTGATCAATAACATATTTGTCAAGGTAGATACCCCTGCATAGATTATCCATGAATAAAATTAGCAAGAATGTGTTCATTTTAAAACTTTAGATGCTAATGTTGGATAATTGAGAGGAGTAATGTGGTAAATGTTGTACCAATATTTCATAATTTTCAGCAATTTAGAACTTCTCCTTTCCAAAGCTTGGCCACTGCGAATTTTGGTATTGCCAATGGATGCCACAGCTAGTGGAACCCCAACTATACAATACCATAACATTCTTGACCAGCTAATTACCACTATTGTTGTTGCCACTCCTGTACCAACATTCAAAATGAGGCAATGCCATCGCTTTGGGACCTTAATCCCCATAGAACTCTCTTTAGCTGCCAACCCCTCAATTGTCCTTCATGTCCTTACTGCATGCAATTTGGATCCTTAAGACCTTGCAAAGCTAGAGGCAAGTGACCTGTTGCTCTAAAGTTTGGCAATGTATTGGTCTTTTAAATCTTAGAATTGATAATGCTGCTGGTTTGATTTTGGATGTGTGTGTTGCAGGCAATATGCTCATTTTTCTGGCAGTCTGCAAACTTTGCTCCTGACTTTGAATTGTCCATATCAGAGCTTGCTACTCTGGACATGTGCCAAAAGAGTGGTATATTAAGCCAATGACAGTGGAGAAACGTCAAGAATTGAAGCAAAGATGTGGGGGTTTCATGAAAACTGGTCTTGAAGTTCTTGTTGGCTAGAGAGGCATGTTTCAGAAGGGAGAAATCACAGGCAATAGTAGGGCTGGGTCACAGCATTACTGTAACTTCAAAAGGAGCTATCTATTCATTTGGCTCTAACAACTCAGGACAGCTTGGACATGGCACCACTGAAGAGGAAAGGAGGCCTCGGCAAATCAGGTTGCCAATTCTTGATCACTCCTTAGACCTAATTCTGTAAAATGCAAGAAAAAGAAAAGAGAACTAGTTGACTTAAAAGAAAAGTTAATGGAACTCCGTTATGTTGCAGATCTCTGCAAGGCATTCAAATTGTTCAAGCAGCTGCTGGGGCTGGCAGGACAATGATGATCAGTGATGCTGGGAAAGTTTATGCCTTTGGAAACTCAAGATGATTCTATGATATAGTAATAACAATATAGTTCTATGACATAGTATAAACAATGTACTTTTATGAAATGGTATTAACAATATTTTTCTATGGAATGGTATTAACAATGTATTTCTATGGAATGATATTAACAATGTACTTCTATGACATGATATTAACATTGTATTTTTATGACATGGTATTAACAATGTATTTTGGGCTTGCTGGGCTTGTTTTGGGTTTTTTTGAATTTTTTTGTGTTGGGCTTATTTTAAGTTAATCAATGGCAGAGATGTAATTTATAGTAGCTTCAACACTTATTCCATATGTAATAAATGGTTTTCGGGTATGTTTCTAAATTGAATTTCATGTAGGGTTTTTTTATAATTTCAGCTCCTATTTTGGGTGTATTACTAAAGATCCCTATAGCAAATCGGTTACATCGACAATATCAACACAATATTGATACTTTATGTATATCATATCACCATTTGCAATCGATATAATAGGACAATATCGACATCATATTGAGATAATATTATTAGGTAATAGTGATGGAGGAGGATATTTTTTTCTTAAATACGCGTCATAAAGTTTTTTTAGTTTATTTTTTAGCTTATATGTGGTTGTCTTTAAAGATATTTTTGTCACTATGATTTTTGGTGAAGTCTGTGACACC